GAAATCTTAGTACTTTAAATCCTACCTCAGACCCCGTAGAATTAGGCATATGTCGGGTGCCTGGTCGTGACCAATTGTATAATGGCTTAAGTAGTGTTTGTATTTAGAACTCTTGGGTTAAGCATTGTCAGCCCCAAATTAGTAGGCTAACTTCTGCTTTTACAATGGGATGTAAATGATAAAGCGATAAGCCCCTTTCAGACATTCCTACAAGGTGGCAGCAGACTCAGAGGTGCCAGCTGCTCTCTATCACCAGTTTTTATCCCAGTGATAATTTACACGCAGTGGCTATGTAAACCTGAAGGGAACAAAGACTTTTATAAAAGAAACTGCCTTGTTATAATACGCTTGTAATATTTTATAAATTCCCAGAATTAGTATATGAATTTCTACCCCACATTCACTGTATGTGTTTGCAGCATTCATATTTAAAACTTTGTTAAGTTTGTCTTTTGTTGTCCCATAATGACCATGTTATGTTATGTAAATGTTAAGCCAACAAGCTTTCCTAAGCATACCTTGGGATGGAAACTTAAAGGGCTAATGTAACCCTTTGCCTGCTGGCTCAGGTTACTTCATACGCAGGGACTGCATGGACCTAACTTATCTAACATTCCACTCTGCCTGTTAAGTGGGTTTCTGTCAATCACGGACAGCACCCACCAATACCAAGTGTTCCCGTACCCATTAGGAGAAATTACCCAATCATGTAAAATCAAGTTTAAAGTTCTTTCCCCTCCCTCTGTAATTGTGCATAAAAACTGCTTGCCATTGTGAATCAGGGCTCTGGTCCATGAAGCCTCTACGGCCTTCATGCGTGAGCCCAGACTCGAGCCTGAATAAAGACCCTCGTGTGTTTGCATCGGAGCTGGCTCTTTGTGGTCTCTATCTCTCTCATTAGAGTCCCAGGTTCAACACAAGCAATCCTCTTGCCTCAGCCTCTGGGACTAGGCACATACCACCTTGCCTATTTTTTGGTTGACTGAGAAATATTGTTCTGTAAAATTATAAACTTAGAGAGATTTTCCTGTTTGAAATTGTATCAGTAACAATAAACATAACCAGTCCCTGATGCCAAAAAGGTTGGGGACCACTGGCCTAGAGGAATGGGGTTTATCCCTGCTATCACAGAGGGCAGAACCAGACCAGAGAAGTTTGCAGTTACCAGGAGGCTGAGTTAGGGCCAATATGAGGAAGCACTTTCTCACCAAGAGAGCTCCCAGCACACAGAGTGAGCAGAAGGCAGACCCAAGAGGGGAGGTCTCCACCACTGACTAACATCAACCTGAATTTATTTTTATATCTCTGGGAAGTCCTGAGCTGGACAGAAAGTTCCACTATGGTCCTCTAATGTATGGTTCTATTGTTTTTTAAAGCTCTAATGTTACATTTGTTTGAGAGATAGTCCTTCAAATCCGACATTGCATTTGGGCTAGGATGCTTCCCCCTCATCTTGGGCAAGTCTTTGTAGAAAGTAGCTTCGTCTTGGTAATTTTGAATTGGGCAACCGTGTATGGAAGAAAACTGGAATGTAGTCATCTAAACACTTGTACAAATCAATGTTAAAATGCTGCCCTGCCTGAACCTCTGCAGAATCCCCCAACTTGGTGCAGCAAGTGGAAAAACGTGGCAGGGAATGACTGATTCCCATCTGCCCACTCTTCAGACTGAAGGGCCTGAAGAAGTCAGTGACACCCCCTCTTACATAAACCACAGTGGATTGTGGTCACCTCCGGCCACGGAAGCCACCTTGCTTTTTCCAATATGCTTACAAATATTATGGTGGGTCACACGTGTTGTGAGTGAAGTGAAGGTTTTGGAAAGTCCTGGTCTAAGAGCTCTGCAACAGCGGTCCCAGCCTCTTTGACATCAGGGACTAGTTTCGAGGAAGAGAATTTTTCCATGGACTAGGGGTGTTGGGGGGTGGTCAGGATGATTCAAGTGCGTAACATTTATTGTGCACTTTATTTCTCTTATTATTACATTGTACTATATAAGGAAATAATCACACAACTCGTCATTTAAAAAAAAAAAAAAGAGATGCAGGTGGAAGTGGTAAATAAAATAATGGGCAGGCCACACACAGACGAAAATAAGAGTCAGATTCTGACTTAAAGCCTGTCACCAGATGCAGTTGTACAATTGAAGTACATCAACGCGCTGCTCACTGATGGGATTTTGATATGAGTCTGCAAGCAATCGATTTATTATGGTCTCTGTGCGGTCAAACCTCACTGCTAATGTTAACCTGTACTTGCAGCCACTCCGCAGCGCTATCATCACTGCCTCAGTTCCACCTCCGACCATCAGGCATTAGATTCTCCCAAGGAGCCATGTAACCCACATCTCTCGCATGCGCAGTTCAGGCAGGGTTTGTACTCCAGTGAGAATCTGATGCAGCCGCTGATCTCACAGGAGAGGGAGCTCAGGCCGTAATGAGAAAGATGAGGAGTTAAATACAGATCACTGACCTGCTGCCCGACAGGTACAGGTCGTGGCCCCGAGGTTGAGGACCCCTGCTCTGCAAGGCTGCTCCCTGGTAAAAACAAATGACTACACGTGGCAAGGCTTTTGATGTACTATTACAGTCATCAGTCAGTATTTGTCCATGAGATCGTGGCAAGCCCTGAGTGTCTCCTCAAAAGCAGGGCAATTGGTCTCACTGTTTTCTGGAGGTAGTTAAAAGGTCAAAGAAGTTCAGGCAGAGTTGAATCTTCTTTCCCACTTAAGTGACCGAAGAACAGAGGGGCGGTGGGGGAGGGTAGGATTCAACAGCATTTGGACAGTAGCACAGATCACACACTTAGCCTCCACCCCTGTTATCACTGGCTCAGGGCGGGTGAGGACAAATCATTTCCCCATCATCCCATCTTTCTCACTGCACACAGCATCCCCAAATAAAGATTCTCAAATGCTTGTGGGCACCTAGCCTGGGCCCTGCGGGATGGGGTAAGAGTTCAGCGTTGGAGAATCTAAAGGAGACGCCCAGATTGTTTTGTTTTGTGGAGCACAGAGGAAGCGCCACAGATGAGGTGACCTTGAAGCTCACATGTGAGGCCAGGACTCCAAGTCACAGGTCAGTTGTGGAAAGAGGCGGCCCCAAGGCTGGGAGAACTTCGACGGGAGCCTGCCCCGGCGCCTTGCGGACCCGCCGGGTGGCGGCCGCCGCGGGCGGGGCGCTGGGGAGGAAAGGGCGTGGACAGGCGTCGGCGTGGGAGGGCGCGAACCCCGCGCTCCCAGCCGGGCCGGGGTTCGC